GAGATCGTACCAATGATTGCACTGTAGAGGAGTCGATCTTGACGTCTCCACGGGGCATAGAGCGGATTTGCAGTAGACGTACCATTGACGGTCGTCGTTGGAGCTGGAACATCTGGAGAATGAACTGTTGGAGTTCATGTCCTTCTAGCAGAGCACGAATCTGACGACACCACATGAGATAATTTTGATTGGTAAGCTTGATAACACTTGACATGTTCACCGACAGCAAAGTGCTTTGGGGATCTTGGGTATTGAACACAGATGTGCGTTCAGCAGTGGAATCAGAAGCCATGGATAAAGAAAATTTGCAGAAAAAGCAAGAGATGCAGAGAATATGTGACGAGAAGAAGAAATAAAGACAGAGAAAAGAGGCGGCGGAAGAGAAAAGAGAAGAAAACTAGGTCAAGACCTATGGTGCTCTGATACCATATTGAACTTATGGTAATCAATGATTTTATTCATGAGTAGTGCTCTGCTTATATACACACAGAGGGAGATCTCTTTACAAGGAATGAATATACAAAAGTAATTACAGGATCAATTAGAGGAGCTGTCTAATAGTTATTCCATCGAACAACCTCTACCGACTCTGTCTGACTTATATAAGAGAAAATGAAACTTTGTCTTCGAGTGTCTTTGCAAGAGAGAAAGAAAAAAGAATCTAATTCTGAAGTAAACGCCAGTCAGTTTCTCAATTCTCAGTCATATCCATCAAATCTGAACAGTCTGTCTTTAATCAAAATATGGCTACATGTTTTTTATCTCATGCAAAAACATAGTTCAGAATAGTCTGTCCATTTCAACATATACCGCAGAGAGATTTTTACGGTAACTTTGGAGTTCAAAAATTTTTTAATTTATATTTTTATCTATATATATAAATATATCAAATATATAATAAAAATAATAAAGTATTTTCAAAAGAAATTTTGAAAGTGCCATTTTTATTAATTCCATTTTCAAAACTACCACCAACCAAATCAACCAGATTTGGTTTAGGGTTTTATTGCTAAGTTTTTTTCTTAAGTTTTTTTATTTGGGGTAGATTCTTATAGAAACTAAGATCTTAAAATAAAGAAAATCGGACTTAAATTTTAGTGTTCCGTCTGTGCTAGGCATACTGCATGGATTCATGTAGTTTTTGCGATTTATGATTTGGATGACTTGAAATGCTTAGTCGCAATAGAAGCATACGATTTAATTTCTTTAGAGAAAATATGGCAAGCTGATTTGCTTGGATAATTAGTTTTTTTTAACAATACATAGTAGTTTGCCATTAGCCTCGATGAATTTATTTTCTTTAAAATTTATTAAAGTTTGGCAAAACCTGATATAATAGGTGAGAATTACGCGCAAACGTAAAAGTCACTTTTGGGTGATGGCCAAACCTAATACGTTCTTATGTAATTATAAGGGTGTTTATAAATTTGCTTACAAAACTTATTAAGTTTTATTAAGATATTAAATTAGGATCTCCTTGATATATGTGTATAAAAGTAAAAAAGTGTTCTAAAATAAAATAAAAAATACTAAAGTAAGATAAATAGTCTAGTTTTCATCAAAATCTATTAAAAAAAAATTCTCATTTCTCAAAAAAAAAAAAAAAAATCTCATTTCTCCAAGCACCTGTTAGGAGCGCGCCAAGTCGTGTTCTCCACATGTTTCGACAAAGACATATACTTTCTCCAATCATCAAGACTAAGATTCAGATCATGAATCTTCTTCTCCGTACCAAGACAACAATTACCATGCATTGTGCAAATCAAGTTTATGTCTTTGCTCGGCTGACAAAATCCACAAACGTAGACCGTATCAAAGAATCTAATTTGGACCCCAATCTCGGATATAATAGGATCGTGCTTGATTTTGTTGAACACATCTTGATCGTGTGACCGTCGATACCTCAAGCGAGATTTGTACCAGAATTTGTAAAACTCAATGCTTCGATTGTTGGATTTCACATATAAGAACCCTCCATTGGCCCAATTATCAAAACCGGAAGGATTTCCAAAGAATTTATCACATGCCATTTGAAAATCTCCATCTGGATATAGCCGAGGAAATGGATCTCTAAGCCACATTACATCTGCGTCCTAGGTTTACAAAAACATACACAAGAATTGTCTATAAGTCATTAGTTCTATATCTTGAACAAAATAAATAAAGGTATATATGAAGAATCAAGACCATAGATTGATACCGTAAATATGAAGTTAAAACCCATTTCGAGAACTTGCATAAGAAGCTCGATTCTGCGCCACATCATCCTGACATAATCAAGAGTGTTGTAAGCTTTATCGCCAGAGAAATCAGTGTCTGAGGTTTCAAGGTAATAGCAATTAAGAAGAAGTTGTGAGCATCGTTCTAACGCCTTGAGATCCAAGCAAACCACAACTACATGTTTCAGAAGCTGTTGTGTTCCTTGTCCAATACGAAAACTCTCTAAGAAGAGATCAAATATGTTTTTTGGCTCTGCCCAAGCTTGATTCAGTGTCGTTATAATCACTGTATTGTTCTTAGTCGATGCATTCTCTAAAATCTCCCTGAAAGTATTATTTGGTTTTGTCTGAAATAACAACAAGATTAAAGTAGACTTAAAACCATTAAAATGTAACTCAACTACACTCATTAAAATGTTACGCAGGTAGACTAATCGATTAATAAAGTAATAGTGTTAGTTTTGATTTAATACTAATTAAACAAGTTTAATCAGCACTACTGGATTTCACATTCGCAAATGGCGTTAAAGAAGTGAATATTTTACTAATTTATTAGTTTTTTAAAGAGTGATATCAAAGACGACATAGACAGAAGAAAAATGATGGGGGCAAAAATAAATATTAGTGGGTGCTATTAATGGAAACAGATATGAATACTGATAAGAGCTTACGGGTTCTGGAGAAATTTCTGATGATTTAAGATCTGGCAATGGTGGAGATGGAGAAGCAAGAAGAGAGGTGAGACCGTTGACGACATCAAGTCGTTGCAGAGGATAAGCTGTTTTGTATAAAACCAGACCTGAAACAGTCATAACAATAAACAGAATAAAAATTCTTGTTACTTCTTTTTCTCCGATCACAAATCTTGAATCCAGAAACTTCCTACAAGAAGATGAAGAACTCATTTTTTTGTTCTTCTTCTCTTTTGGAATTGCTTCTTCTTCATTTTTCGCTTAGCTCTTCGTTTTTGTGGGTTATAAAAGGCAAAAAAGTCAACTTTAGTATTCTTGCAATTACAGCAATATGCATTACACTTTATTGTGGTTATATAAAATTTAACCACAAATTTATATAAAATTTGTGGTTAAAAGTGTTGACATTCTCTTATTAACTCTCTTTAAGAACACTCAGGTTTGTTTCTTTTCTCTTTTCTGTTTTAGATTTTTTTGTTTCTCTTAAACTCTTTCTTCATTCATCGATTTTTTTTAACCATACATGAGAATATCATTGTTCTCTGCATCTTTTACACACCCACTTGCACATACATATAGTGCATCTCTCCTAACCATACTAGCTCTCATCACTACACTCACCTTACCCTGACACCTAGGTCATTATACATTAGCCACACTACTTCCATTTAGACTCTAACTAATCCTTAGGACCTTTGACCACTTAACTATTATTACACCTACTTTTGCTACTAAGACTTAGACTTAGACACATACACACTCGAGATTTCTTTCTTCGGCTGATACAAATTTGCAGCCCATTTCCTTCTAACACGAGGCCCATCTTGTTCTCCATAGTTGACTTTTCTTCTGGTTGACTAGTTCTGCTTCTTCTTCTTCTTCTTCGACATTTCTCTCTTCTTCTTCTTAGTTCTTCATCATCATCTTAAGCTTTTTCTCTTCTTTTTCTTTTGCAGGGTCACTCAAAGGGTCATCTCTCAACAAAAAGACTGATTTCGAAAGCTAATACACGTGAAAGAATCTTGTATTGTGATTTTTTTATCCACAATCTTGTATTGTTATTATACAATGAATCAGTTATAATATTTTGATTAATCTTTAATGTATATATATATATATATGTTTTGGTAAGTTTTTACTTATAATTGTCAGAATGAAATGATTAAGATGTAAATATGCATATATATGAAACATGATAGCAATTGAAATGTTAAATGAAAGATAACCTTTTGGAATAACTTAATCTGACACATCATAAACATTAAAAATCATCATAAATTAATATTTATCATCTTCAACTAAACAATGGAGTACAATTTCAACCAAAAAAAAAATTAAACAATACAAAGGGAAAAACTAAAAATATTTATGCTTTTGAACTATATTTTTATCTATATATAAATGTTTCAAAAATATAATAAAAATAAATGATAGTATTTTCAATAGATTTGTTGAGGAGTGCCATTTTTAGCAATTCTATGATCAAAACTACCATCAACCAAAAAATGTATTTTAAAAATGTATCTCATGTGATATTGGTTGTATTTACAATTTTTTTTTTCTTGAATAACTTAGTTCATAGTACTTCAGCCATTTATAAAATAGAGAAGCTGGTTCTCGATCCTCGCTATATTGGTAATCCTTAGGAATTTAGTAGAGGATCGAGTAGTGTATTTATAAAATAGAGAAGCTTAGTAAAGAAGCTTTCCATGAATTTATTTATCTTCGGTAATCCTTAGGCATTTAGTAAATGTAGAACATACCGTTGTTTAATTGTTCTTTACTAAATCCACATAAATAGAGGGTAGTATGAAAAAAAACTTAACGTGAAATTTCCAACAATGTAGTTCACTTTTTTTAAGAACACGAAAGCCGAAATCGTCATGTCCTAATTTACAATGGACTCTAAAAAATAATCATTATTATTCTGAATTGTATACAGTTTAATTATCAAGTCTTGGTTCTTCAGAACATATAAATGATGCCATGGTGTATCTGAATCTACTTGACAAAGAACAATATGTCCTTAATCGATTTTAGTACGACGCCAATTGCAAATATATATATTTTGTGTCAACAACATCTATAACCGATATTTGTATTCTTTGGTTTACGCTTGTAACGAGTCAATGAGTCTGTTATGTTACTCAGCTTGATAAACAAAAAAAAAAAAAAAATACAGCAAATCAGATCTCAGCGATCAGAGGAAAACTATAAAACAATTGCAGACATAGGCATTTGACACTAACTGACATCCTTGATCCCATTGTTCAATACTAAGTTCACAACAAGACTTAACCAATATATTCTCCTAATCAACCCCTTGCTCTCTTGATTTTATTAGACTGTATTGTAGCTCCTGACACTTAACCTGATCAAAAAAATTCGTTTGTCAGAGCCAAAGGATAAACATTTGATAGAGAGTCTGATTGACACAAACTTACCAGTAAAATTCCATTGCTTTTCATTTGCTGCCGGCATTTGATAAAAAAAAACTTTGACCGGTGATTGCAATAGCTAAATCAGCTCTCAGAAAGCAAGCGGTCAAGCTCATCAAACCCATCACCTTCATCATGTGCAACATCTTTCACAAGTTTCTGTGTCGTATCAAGAGAATCAAGCTTTGTTTTTTCATAAAATGAGAGTTTTTGCGAATCCCATTCCTCTTTCAGTTTCTCCACTCTCTCTCCCATCAACTCTTTCTCTTCCGCTATGTGCTTTATGTCCTCAATCTCCACTATTTCTCCTGCGCCTTAAAAGATTACCAAACAATCGATATAAACATAATGAATCATGATGGTACCACAAGAAAATATTACTACACACATGCCTATAATCTTACAGAGGTCGAAATCAAATAAACTAAACACTCTTGCTGTATAAGAATATAAGATGGGAGGCAAATAGCATCAATGGTAAAAAAATATGGCATACCTTTGATTGCGCGCTTCTTGGCCTCTGCATATTCTATAGACATTTTATGTAGGGAACTCAGATCAACTTCATTACCCTGATAAGCACAAAAGCAACAAGAATGGGACAATATAGGTATAACTTAGTGTAGAGAAAATAATCAAAATGTTGGACATATACATCTGTATAATCTTTTGTCTTTTATCTTAGGGAAAGAGCAACAGCGATCTTCAAATGTGCAAATCTCTGAAATGTGAATTCTTAAAAGATTAAATATCTCGTACTCACCATATCCAGATGAATAAATTGCTCAATCTCGGTGTTAGAGTTTAATCTGTTCATATCAAGATGAGAATCATATCACTAAAAAGATTATTTCAAATTACGATTTTGTTAGTCCTCCGAAATAAAAAAAAATTAGGGACAAAATGACATACTTTTCATATGCACAACGCACAAGTGCATTCTGTAGCTCGGTTGATTGATTGAGTTTCTCGGTTACAGACGCTTCATCAACTTCCACAGCTCCGTATATGAACACGTTTTTATCAAGCAGTTGTTTTGCCACAGCAGTAGCTATCTCTACACCTTTATCTTTTGCCTCAACTATAAGATCCCTAAGTTTCCCAAGCTCTTCTGCAAGATGAGAGCCGTACAAGTCAATAATGATTCTAGCGATGAGGAGACCTTTCAAAGTAATTGCTTTCAGTAAGAGCATAAAATAATACAAACAAACAGTCGAAATCAGCTAAACCTCAATCACAGTAGCTTTCACATTTTAGGTTTGAAGAAAGAAACTAGTGAAAAATATAGATCAAATCGTTATGTACCCATTATTAAACTCACCAAAACAACCAAAGGTAAACACTGACGAAGTGAGGTATAGATTCTGAACTTGGGTTTAAAAGGTTGGGTCTCATGAAGGCAATAGAGACAGTAAAGACCTCCAAGTCTTCGTGAAAAAGAATCTCCAGTATTAACCATGTGACCTGTAGACATAAGGATGGCTTGTGAGCTTAGCTAAGAAAACAAGCACAATGTGACGAAGAAAATTTTATGTATAGGGCCCAACTTACCGATGGTATGAGCATATAGTGACTGCATGAAAAAGGCTAAGCTGGTGTTACGATTGGCTTCATATATATAAGAAAACTTTCGGGATAGCCACACCCTCTTCATTTCAGCGAACGTTGTCAAATCACCCTGAAAATAAAACCAGAGACTTAAAAAATTGAAGGCTTGAAAACAAATTTGAAATGAAAACTGAAATAACTAACGAAGATGGTGAAACATAAATAAAAGTCTGTACCTCCACAAACTCGTCTATGAGTTCATCGATATCTCTCTTGAACAGAGAAAGATTTATTCCTGACATGCACAAAAAAGTTTATGAGATTAATTTCCAAGAACAGAATAAATATCCATTCTAGGAGAGAATGGAACCAATGACTCCATAGTTCTCGTAACATTCCCAAAAAGACAATCATCAAGATCATCCATCGATGTGTTCATATTAGAGCCTCTTCCATTCAAAGGAAAGATTCAAAATGGGGCTAAAAATCCTACAAAGATGGTTCAGTGTTTGACATCTAACCTGAAGCATGAGACTTCTTCTTCCTTTGCGGCTTTCCATTCACGAGAACTAGCTTCCGGTTCAGTATGGTTTCGCTTTCCTTTTTGCTAAAATGTATAAAAAAAGAGTTGGTTTAATACATTCAATTGAAAACCCTTTACAAAAAAAAAGAAGAGAAAGAAGATAATGAATGCACCTAAAGAATATATCTGCTGCAATATTTATACTAGTTTGTCACAAACTTTAGATACAAAACAGACTAGGTAAGCTATTCATACAACATGGTTAACATAGAAATTCGACCTGAACCTGAGAGATATCACTCAAAATATGCACAATACCATCAGAAACTTCACTGATATCCCAAATTTTACAAGTGAATTAACAGAATCCTAACTTAATAATCTAATTACAAAGAAACAAAGAAACAAAAGAAAGGAGAGAGATTCATAACAATGAAGGAAACAAAAAAGGTAACCCAACTTTAAGGATCAGTTCTCGCAACCAAATCAGATGTTGATGCAACCCATAATTACAATTCACAGAACAAAACATAAATCAGCAAAGAAATCAAAACTTTTAGAAAATTTGAGAAAGCCATTACTCGCTGGTGAATTCAGAGACGCATTCCTGCATGGTCTCTTTGGCATCTTTGGCAATTTTGCCATTGGCAGGTAAACCCCTCTTCATGATACGGCTTATGTTAACGATGGGAAGAAACCTATCTTGCTCACGAACATTCGACGACCTCGGGCTCTGATCTCCGCCGCTTTCATGGCGGAAATCGGAAGAATTAAAGACGAAACCAGAAAATGGAGGAAGTGAGATGAGATTACTAAGTAATTTGAAAAAAAAGAGCGGGATTAGAGGTTTAAGAGTTTTATCGCCGTTCGGCGATGGAGAGAGAGATTGATCCGACGCTGGAGATGAGAGAGACAAGTATCGTCTGCGATTTGAGAGATTAGGGATTTAGTAGACTATTTTTTTTTTTTTTTTATCACCCTCCGTTTATTAATAGTTTTTACTTTTAGTCTCTAGTCTTCTTTTGAGTTGTAAGTAGAGTAATACCAATATATACCCATGAATAATTGCATAATTAGTTCTTTCTCTTAAATATTTTTTTATCATCCACTATCCACTGTTCATAAGCAAAACCCTATTTAACTCTTTTATTTTTTAGATATTACATATTTCTTTTTTTCTTTCTTCAACCACTTTCAAATGAAAGAAAATAGAAACGAGATAAAAAAACGAAAAAAGGAAAAAAAACGAGAGACTAAGGTGTAAATTGATGAGAGTGAGTGTGAAAATGATAACAACAATGAAGGTAGTGATGACTATAACAAGAGTGATGATGGTGGAACAACGGCGACGAAAGTGACATCACTATCGTCTTGTTATTAACAAGTACTGATTTTTATTATCATGTTAATAAGTATTAGTTTTATTGTTAGCATGTGACCAAATATCATATATTATTTGTTAATACGTTAACAAGTAACAACTATTATTGTTAACACATTAATAAACATCAGATCTTATTGCTATCATGTTAACAAATAACAATTATTACTATTAACACGTTAACAAGCATCAGATCTTATTGTTATCACATTAACAAGTCTCATATATTATTGTTAACACGTTATAAGTATCGGATAATAGTGATAACATGTTATAAATACTGGATATTTGTGTTAACACGTTAATAAAATAGTTATCTATTAAAAATTAACATGTTATTCAAATGTGAGCTCGTTATCATATTATTCTATATCACATGTACATATAATTGTTATCACGTCCATCAAATAAATTTATCATGATATAGTAGTTATTATGTTAAGCAAATAGTTAACGATCATAATTACTATTTGTTTATTATTTTCGATGATGAACAGTATCTGTCGATAAAAAATGGATAATGAATAGTGTTATCGGAAGTTGGTAATGAACAGTGTTACTGACATAGTTTGTTGGAAAACAAAAATCTCAGACAATGACATTTATATAAATATTTAATAGAAGAAGGATATTATTGGTTATTTTTTGTTTTCTCTTTCCTATATACTTAATTTTTATTTATTCATTGTATTTAACTAATTTTTTAGTTAGCTGTTGGTATTGAGTCATTTAACTCTTGTAACTAAGTAAGTAATTAAATATAGGGTATTACCACTAGATACCATTGATTAACATCAATATTAGTTTTCTCGGTCAACCACTATTCAAGCTGTACTGTAGCTTATGAAATTCCCACTCAGTCCCTATTATGCTTGCAACCTTCATTCTCTACTTATAGCTTGTAATCACCTGCATGTGGACCTCAAAGAGAAAATATGTCAGGTTTATATATATTTTTTATCTCATAGATATTCTAAATATTTATTTTGTCATCAAAATCAAAAGAATAAATAAAAAAAAATAAAGTCTCTATCATCTTCGTGTGTATCGTCTTCTCCATCGTTCCAGTTTTCTCTTTTCCAGGCATTCTTTTATCTTTCCATTTTGATCATTCTTCGATTCCAGAAGGCTATACATATCTATAGTGCCATATTCCACTGACCATCCTTACAAAGAACCTTAACGTTTCAGGTAAAATCCACAGATTTTTGAAGAAAAACTCGTTTTCTAACCATTTTTTTTCAGAAAATATGACAGATTTAGAGTTGCCACAGCTTATACTCGGTGTCGGCCAAATTCATGTTGTCTTTTAGAAAGAGCCTCAAACTCCATTGATAAAAAAATGTGATAAATGAAGAGATGTTACATCTTTAGGTGGATAGTTTTAGATCTCTGGGTGGCGATTTATTAAAGATTAAAGACTGATGTTGTTGGTGGTTCTTACTTTAGCCATTTGGATTGGTGATACCGGTTAGTTATCTATCTAAATATAATTTTATTGTGATTTTAGAATTAGATAACCGTCGTAGTCGTTAAACTAGTTATCATTGTCGAACATCAAATTGTTAACATTTTTGGTTCTCTGTCTAAATCAAGATCTTTTTTTTTTTGGCAGATCAGCGACAATGGTTGATTCTCTGTCTAAATCTAATTTTTTGTGATGTTAGATGTAGATACTCGATGTTGATCGTTAAGCTAATTATCTGCGGATAATCGTTACTTCTCGTTGAGGTAGTTAATATAGTTATTATTATTGTTATGTGATAACTCAACATAATAACCTAATATATTATCACATGAAAAGTAGGTGTACCTTGTTATTATTATCGTTGCATTCAAAATTGATAATTCTTCATGTATGATGTAATAACTGATTTAATCTGATAACTACTGGTTTAACACATATATGTAAAGTATCAGATATTATTGTTAACATATTAGCATTCTATATGCTAACTACGTTAACAATATAACAAAATAAATATTTGTGTCCAGTAATTTTACTATATATATTAATTTAATCTCTCATTTGATATCATTGTTAGCGTTAAAATTATTGTTATCAGTAATGTAGATGTTAACTTATGTCATGTTAACAAAATAAACATCGGCGAAGTTCTACAAAGTTTTGGTATCTTGCAGATCACATCAAACCACGATACAGGAGAAATTGTAATATTCATTATGCAAGGTCACATAACTAGAAAGGAGATAGATGAATGCAGAGAGTGTGATGTTTGTTATTCTCATATTTGTTTACTTGTTTTTTTCTGTAACCATCTATGTATTTAATGTTAATCATACAATATATTTCTTAACAGTAAGTATATTTGTTAAATTGTTCCATATAAACTCAGCAATCAATTATAAGAATATCAAATTGTTAACATTGTTACCATCATCAACATACTTATCAATCTATTTGTTAGACAATTATAATAAAATACCGCTTTGCCAAATTAACTTATTCTTAGCACATTATAAAAACCAGTTGTTATTAGCACGTTACAAAAATCAGATATTATTGATAGCACGTTAACACTTTATATGATAACAGCGTTAACAATATAACATAATAAATATCCACTAACTATATATACGTTAACTATATTATATATAATAACTTGATCACCTTATCTATGTTAATTCATTTTGTTGTGCTAAACAATTTAATTATAATAAAATATCGCTTTGCCAAATTAACTTATTATTAGCACATTACAAAAATCAGATATTACTATTAGCACGTTACAAAAATCAGATATTATTGTTAGCACGTTAACACTTTATATGATAACAACGTTAACAATATAACATAGTAAATATCCGCTAACTATATATACGTTAACTATATTATATATAATAACTTGATCACCTTATCTATGTTAATTCATTTTGTTGTGCTAAGCAATTCAATAGTATATTGTATTGAAAATGAAAGATAACTTTGTTCAATGCTAACCTAGTTATGATCATTATCAAATTTAAATGAAAAATCATTAAGTTAGCACCACTATTGTTGTCATGTAGACATCTAATGTTAACATTCTTTCATCCAAAATTATATTATTTTATTCTCGAAAGAAAAATATAGTAAATAATAGTTTATTAATTTTATTCAAATAAAATGCAAGTGGATAGGTTCACAAGATTTTTTGCCAGAAAAGCTTATATTCTTGTCGGCTGATAATGTTACTTGTAAGTAGGGGTAAAAAGGTGAAGAAAAGAGGATGTGGCAAATGACACTCAATTTTGAAGTATCTTTTGGTATATAGCTTATTAATTGGTCAAATTTTGGTACTGAGTAAAATCACCTTTAAATATACACTTATCATTGTAGATATTCAAACTATCAATATTGGAAATTTATTGAAATGTGAATACACTAGCATAATGTTTTTAGTAAGTACTAGATTTTTTGCCCATATTACAGTAATGTTATGCATGGATATTTTGTTGATAAAAATTATATACAATACAATTATATTTATTAAGATATAAATTTTATATATTAATATTTTAATATTATATGAAAAATATTACGGTGTTAATATTATATGAAAAATATTATAGTATTAATCTAATAATTTTAATGTAAATTATGAGGTTTGAACGGTTTTGTTTTGAATCTATATATAGTATGTCATATTTCAAAAACATATTATTTGGTTAATCGTATGGTCAATCTCGTTCCTTTTAAGTGAAATGTTGGACCCTTTTTGTTGGTTTCTTGGTGGCGTGATTATAGATGCAAAAAATATGAGAAAAATTGGCAATGTAAAGTGATTCTGAGTAGTAATTTGATTCTCCTGTAACTCTTTCTCTCCTCTAGAAAGGATTTTAAGAAAAATTACCGTGGGAACTTGGTGGATCTAGCAGAATATGTTTCAATGTGTGGAAAAACATGCCAGAAGAGGTATCAGATTATTCATCTTAAATCACTCAAAAAATTCATTCTTTTTCTGCCGCAAGCCTTAATATATATGTGGGTTTTTTTTTGCATTTTTCTTACTTGTTTTCCAGGAACAAAAGCCTTTCATAGCCCGTGCTGCAGTGGTTGATTTGGCACACAGCAGGAAATTAAACTAAGAAGCTAAAAGCATCTTTAAGGTAGCTCATATCTCTGGATATGAATTGATGCATCTGAAAATTCTTGCTTAATCGAGTATAAGAACTGAGATGTGGAGGATTACTTAGTTGATTGATTTTCTTCCATGTGGCCAGCAACATTTGCATGTGTATCTAAATTTTATATGCATACTTGATTTAGCTTTAGAGTAAGATTGATTGCTTAAGGTTTTCCGATTGAAACTTTTTGTGATATTCTTTGGTTTTATAACTAGTCAAAAAGAGTCGTGACATTTGCATTCCATTTTCCACTGAAACACTTTGCAAAGTTTGAAGCTTGCAAAGGTTGTTGAACACAGTGATGACCTATTTGCAGGCAGTGGCGGATGTAGACTAACATTTAGTCGGAGGCATAATTTTATAAACAA